CTAGACGGGACGCTGACAGCAAGTTTATCTGATACCTATCCACTGACTAGCGCAAGTAGCTCCGAGAGCGCAAGGAAGCGCCACCAAACATAGCTCAGTGGATCACGGGAACACCACATAAGTGCCCTAGTCTTGTTGTTATATAAAACCCGCTGAGCGAGGTTTATCCCTACCGCTATGATAACACGTCTGTGGTTGTTACCTATGCTCCACTAAGTTCTATAGATCACGTAAGTACCGACTTTGCTAAGGCCAGGTTAGGGTGTTCAACTGACAATCTGATACATCAGTTCGGATAACAATTGGCCCCGAGTGAATTCACTAGAAACTGATAGTAAATTCAATAAAAACAAGTGGAATGATTATCCGACATAATTATCAAAAGCAGGCAATATTTTTAGTACTTGATGAGCAGTAGTGCGGATTTTGGTATAATTCAACTTTGGTCGCGCGTGTCATGCGGCCCGCTGAAGGCCTCAGGATGCGCCGCCGGAGGACATAGGGTTCAGTCTAGGGACTCCACTCGGTTTAAAGTCGCACAGTAGTGTTCCTTCAATCTTCGTATGCTCATTTATGGTTGCCCACGAAAATTATTCAAATTTACGTTGTGAACACTTTGAAATTGGCTGTAAAGGTTTTTTTGGACGCATATGAAGTCAAACTGTATTATCAAAATTTTCACTGTATTCTTGTTGGCGCGATGAACCGTGAGCTGCTATGCAACTTCAGCCATAAGCCACCGCGATCTCTAGTGGGAGCCGTTGACGTCCCATCCGGTTACGAAGGCGTGGAGCAGCCGCACCCGAACTTGCATTTTGTTGTCTCAGAACGCCGTTTCAATCTACCTACGACGCCCGTCTCAGCCAACGACCTTTGGTGATTATATGTATGGTCCTTAGTGCTGAGTGTTCGGCAACAGGCTCGATGAGGTATTCACACTAGCACGTAGGTCCGGAATGTTATCATCTTTCCGCGCATTTGAGCCACGACAGGTAGGCAGTTAAACGCTTATAGAAAAGAGCAGCGTCCGTAACGTTTATCCGGCTATTCAATCGGCAATTTATGTTGGATAGAGAAACCGCTAGCATCCCAGCAATGGGTAGAACAAAATCCATTCCTTAGCACACGATTGTCTGCCCCCAAAAACAAGCAATAAGATATATATATATATATATATATATGTCTATATATAGCTTCTTCTGGAAGGGATACGTGAGTGAGTTTGGGGTGAAACTACCATTGGCATACGGTTATGCAGTCAGTGATCGCACTGAAATATTGCAACATATAGTAGACGCAGTATATTCTCCGCCTCTTTCGGTGTCCGTGTGGGTCCGTCAGCTGTTTGAGGAGGATGGATTCCCGTTTCTTCTTACGTAGTTCTTGACGTGTTAATACAGTAGCTTTTACTTTGAGGTTATACACACTGACAACGTCTGCTGGTATGCCATTCTAACCTCGCGAACAAGCTGAGTACAGTGGTTACCTTGGGTCGTATAGGCAATCTTGTTCTCGGTGCTCAGAGAGAGTTGGTGGATATGCCAGGCTGTGTTTCGCACCGCTATACACTTGCGTGTCCTGTTCCGCAGAAACGAGACAATGTTTCTCCGGCGGAAGGTCTTAATCGTGGACACTTAGGCAACCAGAGAGTTAAACTGGCTGACGAAATGTTTCTATGCGCTATCTGGTGCCTCCTCTGCCAGGAAGGTCCAGTTGGCCGTCTCAACTTGTCGAGCTAATAGGTCGTAGCGTATAAGCGTTTTTGCGTCCGCAATTTCCACGGGATATTCTGCATAGCAAATGTATTCGAAGAGTAGGACTACAGGATTGCTGCAACCCAAGGGGACGTCGATGATCACCCTGTCGTCCATTAGCTCTTTGTTGGTGAATAACCGATCCAATATCGAAGGTTTATCATTTTCTCGGAATCGGATGGGAGTGTTTATGTGGGCATACAGGGGGTAACTGGAGACAAACTCTTGTAGATCGGCCTTAAACTGTTCTCCTGGAGTTGCTTGGGATGCCAGAGCGTGGACGTTGAAACCGCCAGTAATCAGAATGTGACGGTAAGTTGTGTCTATCAGCATCCTTATTGTTGATGCTAAATAGAAGTACATCTAGTGCGTGGAGGAAGGAGGGCGGTAAATGACCGCCAGTAAGCAAGTTTCGTCGCCTTTTTATTGTAGACGGCACCAAGGGTAATCTTATACCCTGCTAACCAGATTCTCTATACGCTCACACTGGAGGTCGTAACAGAAGTACAGAGCCACCACTCCACCTTTGATAGGACGGTCGTGCCAAACAGTGGACATGTCTGGCAGTGCGCTCTCCATGTCACTTATATCACTGCGGAACCACGTCTCCGTTAAAACGATGAGGTCGCAGGCTTTTGATTATTGACGCAGCCGCATTTCGGAATGTTTACCGAATAAACCTTGAGAGCTGGTGTAACTGAAGGAAAGCTTCTCGGATATCAAAACCTGTTGATTAGGAGCATATGTATGATATGGATTTGTGCTGACCGAGGAGAGGTCCGCACTTAATCGTTTTTTGGGTGAATTGCTAAATGTCGATAAGAATGTAGTCTGATTTTGCTCTCACTTGCACTTGCAGTATGTAGCTCGTCGACAAGCTTCTTGATAGCTATGGGTCTTAGCGCACAGGTTTCTGAAGCGCTGTTTTGGTTATATTGAGTCACGGGTGGTGTCGTTTCCGCGAGAACAGTGAGTGGCTGCAGCTCTCTAACTGCTGTCTTCAGTCGTACTTCCGAAGGAAGAGTGCTGTGTGGTAATTGCCAGCTAATGATTAAGTTTACGGCCATTTGTTGCGACGGCACTGTTAGTTTCCGTATCTTCGAGCCACCCCCTCTCCAGTTTGGCGACACGTGTCACCGTGTAATCGACTAATATTACGTCGCCCGCACTGTGAGCTTTACGGATGTTACGCCATCCATCCAGGACATAAGCGTGGGCTTCTTCCTTGATGGTTGTCGGTATGTCGGGCACACCATGAACGAAAATAATGCTTTTGCTACTCTCCAAGTTTTGGTTGTTGGAATAATCTTTTTCTCGCTGTTGTTCACTCCAAGGAACAACCGGAATTATGCGTATTCCACTGTTTTCAGTCCGCAGGCGGTATGCCGACGAAAGCACCGTCTCGACATCATCTATTGGTCTCAGTGTTACTCGTATTATCTGGGACTCCCCATAATTATTCGAGGATGGATGCCTAGTGGGGCGCATTATGTTTGTCGAACTGACTTAAACTCCGATTTTTACACATAGGAAATTCCATTGCTTTAAATCAACCAGCTGTTTACCCCTTAAGGAGTTTGCCCTGGACTCAGGAAAGTTGGTGCATTTAATTGTCAAGGCCCTGAAGTTCTGCTTGGTCTTTGGTGATGTGTGAAGCACGGTTATCAAGGGTTTTATTCACCTCTTTGTAGGTTGCACCTGGTGCTTGACCCGATTTTCTGGCTGTACGGGGTGAGGCTACTGAGGTCGAACTTTGCTTATACCGAGCAGCGACATTTGTATAGGTGGATGGGTCTTTAGAACGCTTCGGATTTCCTTGGTCAATCGGAAAGGTGACGGTCACCGATATTACATCAGTCGATCCACTGGATAAGTGGGCGTGGGCGGTGGGTCTAGGCATGCTGCTATCGCCTGCGATGAGGACTCGATTTGTGGTTCCCAAGGTTTCTAGTACCGCGTGGCCGTGTGAACACCTTGCCGTGTTCCTTGGTTTCAAGACAGTAGTTGCGGGAGACGGATGAGGTGAAAGCCGCGCTGTTATCGCCTCCAGGGAAGCAAATGCTGCATTCAAACGACGTTCAGTTTCGGCGACTAGGCTGTCGTACTTTTGTGGTAACGCTAGTAAGCATTTTACTAGTGGAATTGTCGTGCAACTCGGACAGAACCAAAGGGAACCAGGCGTGTTGTATTTCTTTATTTCCGTTCTACAGACGTTCATGCATTCCGAATGGTACCGCTGAATGCAATTTGTACAAGTCAATCCTTTATTTTATTAACTTAGCACAAGTTTGAATAGCACACAATATTTCGTTTCGTGTTACCAGTGTGGTGGTTATGATGGCTGATTACCGTAGAACAAATCCAAGATGGCGGACACAGACAGCAGTTCGGGCAATCAATGAGAACTCCAAATTTAGCTGGGGAACATACACCACATTTGCACGGATAGAAGAATACATCAAAAGAAAAATATTAGTACGCAAGTTACAGAGAAAAGTTACGTTTAACAGAGTAATCCCGAAGAAAAAGTGGAATCCAGCAAGGTTATCCAAAAATCTGCGGAGTCCCTGGGTACATCAATTCTTAATGGTTTTCGGCATAATGTAACCTACTGTATTATGCATCATGCTAGTAAAGCCTGCGGCATTTATCCAATGAATGCAAAAGCAGTTCACGGATATTTATCCCGCATTTTTTAAAAGAAATATCTATGAGACCCAGGTGCATTGATAGTTGGACATAGCCGCAGGTAGGCTTTCTAGATGCAAACTGGGGGACAATTTTACCTGCAGCGAAAGACAAAACCTAATTTATCACAATGTCTCTTCGATGTCGTTTAGGAATCATCTGAGCGTATACTGTAAGTGCAAACGTAGCAAGTAATACGCCACTTGTTATGACAATGACGAAGTGCCTCACACCAGATTCCCTCCGTGAATTCGCAGTATCTTTTTCACTTCGCTCCCCGCTACGTTAAGCTCACAATTCATACTGGCGATAAGCAAATAATTAATAAACCCAAATCATCTGTGTGCAGTTTAGGGTATTTCAGCGAACTTTCAATTAAGTGGGTAAATAATCAAGTAACTACGGCGTTCTCGAGGAGAGCACATAGTTAACAAGCTAAGGAAGTCTGTTTAGTTTGGGGTCTACCACGCACCATCTGGTAAAGTTCGCATGAAGGAAAGCCTACCTAGGCAGTAACCGGAAATACCAACACTGTGTATTTATTAACGCAGAACTTACCTGCGTCGCAATGTAAGCCTTTGGCCTTTGGTACCCATCGATGTAGCTGGCGTTGATGTAATCCGATCGAGAACCGTTGCTGTGTCCTCGGAGCTGCACACGATTGTAATCAAATGGAACCACACTAGTGCATCGGTTTTTCGCTTGGTTTTGATCCAACGTAGATTGAGCAATGGAGAAGCAATGTTTCTTCGATTCGCGTTCAATCGAATGGAATTCGTCAGCTAGCACGAAATGTTTGTCATGTTTTGCATCACTCACAAAATCGACAAATTGGGACATTGGTATCGGGATTCGTCCGGCAAAGGCTACGGACAGTTGGGAAAATACGATAAATTAATTAACTGTGGAGCCACTGTTGCGCGCTGTCATCATCAACAACAGCAGTAGATCTGCCATTTGAACGGATGCTTCGGATGCTACGGTGACCTACGTAACAAACACACGGGGTCAAGGCGCCTAAGCCTAGTCACCAGCATAGCGTTACAAACAGCTAGCTATCGTACAAAGATAAGGAGGCACCAGCGAGACAGCTTTCTTGCAGCTTTCACTGCCGCGCCATAATTAGCAATTGCCGCGCAGCTAACTCAGCACTAAACAGACTTTAAACAGGCAATTCGATTAGGAGATGACAGCAGACACGTCACTGGTGTCGACTGCGAGCCATGTCCTTAAGGTCGAAAGACAAGCACAAGTCAGTTCATGTGGACTGCAGTCTAGAAGGCGTGACGGACCGATGGCTGTACTCAGTGGTTATCTAGTTGCAATCTAGTTAGAATCACTACGGTGGCATCATCCTTACTAGCAGAAATGAGTTACCAAATACCTATATCATCAAGACACGCTCTTACAGTCTCCAACACAACGAAACAAGGGTGTAGTGCGGACAAAGAAAGTTCAAGCTGTACAGGTACATTGGGATGGTGTGTGAAATACCTAAGTCCAAAGAAATTAGTTAGGTGCAAGGTACACTGTGTGTGTGTTGACTCATCATAATATTTGCCTTAACACGTGTGTAAATTCGCCTGCCCCATTTCGTGGACGGCAGGTGAGCACATTGTCTGAGTTATGGAGCGGGCATACACTAGCGAAGTTGCGCAAATATCGTCTGATCTCACACCAAGAAAATTGTCACCATAAGGTAACTGAAGCTGCGCAGATAATGACTGAACACCACCCAATGAAACCGCTATCAGGCGTTAACCCAGTATTTGCATCATGGAACTGCGGTACCAATTACGACAAGCCACATTGACCACAGCTGAGTTTTCCATAAGACAGTGCCACTACGTGAGAACTCATGTGCACTGCCATCGGCTACTTTCTTTGTTGTCTACCTCTTAAAATTCTGTATTATCGAGCTTTAAAAAGTGTAGAAGGCATAATTTGACTTTAGTTGAATCACTAGACGAACACCTGAATCTTGGTGCAATGATGCAGGTTTAAGCGTTTTGTCTTCATTCTCAGCCCGCTTGCACAACGCCTGGCAGCTAGAACATTTGGACCGTAGCGATAGGTATTCAACTGCCTACTCTGCAAGTGGTGCACTATACCTAAAGCGCCTTTCGGTCGTTCTGACTACAATTGGAAACATTTAGGACGCGTTGTAACAGTTTGCGTTTTGTTGTCAGCCGTTGAACGGAAGTCGTGACAATAATGCGAATTATGTAATGCACCGTCGTGTTGCTTATAAAAAGAATTACCTTTGAGCGAAAGTGACCTAACTCAGAAGAGTCTTCTAAGGCTGAAAAATTCGGTTGGAGAAATATTCGGGTGGCCAATTCCAGCCAGTTGCTTTTTAGTTGCGAATAAGCTTCAGGAGGTGGAGAAAAAAGTGACTGGGATTTATTAAGATGTGATAAGTTAGAGCACAATTGTTCCGGATATGACGGGATCAGCTCCTTACACTCCTAAGGCTTTCTGTCGTAGTTGCTACAGTAGACGGAAAAAGCTATTAAAGTCATCGGTCTCCCTTAGCGGGGAGGTCCTGACTGCAGCGAGCTCGCGCTTTAGCCAGGGTTGCCAGGTCTAAATACTTCACATGGGACTCTACCAACATTCAGCAGCTGCGAGAAGATGGAGAAGTCTGGCGCCAGGACCCCATCCGTAAATGATCCACATGTAGGTTCTCATTTTCGAAATTTCCAAAGCTTCTTTCTTACTGTCGAGGTTCACTTGAAGCACTGTCCCGAGATCGTGCTACTGTGAGGCAGTCTTCAATATGTGGCCTCAGCCTATTTGTTTCAGTCAGATGATGATTTAAATGAACCAATTTTTAGTTGTCCTCAATAAATGAGAATGAATTAATATTTAGGAGTCAATTTTTATCACCATGAGGTAGACACTTTGATTAACCACAGTTGATTGACGTTAAATGATCAATGAGGTGCAGCAACAATTGAATATGATCGCATAGGACGTTTAAACTTAAAGAAAAGGGAAAAAGATAAGTTAGTACTAGCTTAGGCAATTCTCACTGCCCGCATGTTAAAATTGGCTGTCAGGCGCTGAATAAATTTTAAATTTGCTACTGCTGAACTTCCTGTTACTTGAACACCACATAACAACTTGAATCATACAAGTGATTCGAATCCTCTTGAATTGACCAGAGCCCTGTTGACAGACGCTCAGCTCTCATGCTGCTTTTTGCATGGACTTACTTCCCTCAGTCCACTCGCAACGTAGCCATTTTACTCTCATTACAATCGGACTTAACAGCTCTAATCAGAGGACCATCATAATCTAACTTATTTTCTAGGGTTAGAAATAGCAGCAACAACAGCTTTTCACAAGCGACTGTCGTGTTTAGACTAATGCGCTCAACGTTATAGCATTTAAGCCGAATCCACATCTGTGTAACACCACTCGTCACAAGAATCCAGAGACTCTCCAAAAATTCCAAGCTTACGCCAGCCCGTGTTTCGCAAGGTGGCCGTGGAGGAATATTTGCTTGGTTTTCTGTGCCCACCGTATGCGATCAGATTCAGTTACTGGCCGCTGCTCAGAGAGACCAAACAGAGATCACCAGGCGAAGAGTGCAGCTCGGGTGCCTGCCTTACTAGTGATTAAGGTCATGCAAATGTCTACAGGAAACGCCGTGAATCATAATCCCCGTCAACGTGGACCTTGAAAAAGTATACCGTTACTGGCATTATGAAGTGTAGTGTTCCAAGATTTTGTGTATCTTCCTACCAAACTGAACCACGGAATTGCAGTGTGATGGTAGTTGCAACCAATAGTAAGTGGAAACGCTATGGCACCAGTGGGCAGCTGGCCAATCGAACGCCACGTGGCATTTCGCGGCGTACCAATCAGATGCTACTTAACCAGTAGGAAAGTAATCATGTCATCGGAAGCGGATCGGTCAGCCGAGCAGCGAGTGGTCTGCGCGCGCTCATGTCCAACTCTCTAAGGACGGGCAGTCAAAAGAAGAAACAATCCCCGCGTGTGCAGGTGACCAATCTGCCGCCAGCAGATTCCAAATGCACAGCACCTATTCAGTCCTGCGAAAGAGCGGGTACCGTGAGAAGAAGAAAAGAGGATTTGTTTGTGAGGCCATGAATGGACCATAAGCACCTGAGTCCAGGTTTGCTGTGGCTCCTGGCCAAGAGAAGGAGTGTGTGATCAGATAGGCGAAACAACACCTGAGCCAATCCTACAATCCACCCAGAAGCTCAGCAATCCGCCAGTAGTAATGTTAGGAAGGATGAAGGTTGCAGACCATTGTAAACCAATGGAAATAGACACAGCCACCTAAGACAAATAACGAGGCCAGCCAGTGGAGTGGGACCTCGCATATGGTGTGCATATATAAATAACCTTATGTAATTTGAATAAACGACTGTGTGAGCGCCGCCCAGTTTTCTTGATTTTCGGAGCGCTACTCGATATATATTGACAGGCCAGCAGCCAACGCTGACCACACCATACAACCGGGCTGCCGTGCTACCGGAATTTATTCGTGAGTATAAATTTGGAGCATATTCCCAATAACTTTATCTTCCCAAAATTACCAGTATTTAGAAATGTCTTGCTGAAACACACACATTTACACTACGTGACATCACACTTGATGACTGTGGGTTCACGTGATATGAACAATCGATGTGCTCATTATGAATTCCTTTTAAGTTTGCCAACACTTACTATACGTCAACCTAGACACTTTGTTTTCCCAGTTGTTCATCCTTCCGTATAATGGGACACCTCAATCATTGCCATTTTACCAATGGTAAACCATGTTTTCCATTATTTTCAATCCAGTTGAAAAATGTGATCACCTGGTACAAAACCGGACGTTAGCTAGATAACGTAGCCATGACGAATCACAAACTACGTTAAAGTCTATTTTAGGACTGCCGCGCGAGTGTCTGCTTCCATTCCCTTGGCAGTCCGGTAAAGACATGGGTAGCAAAGGAATGCGTAATAAACCAATACTATTCTATTTGTGCATACACGTTTGCAAAAACCGTTGGTGCCCTCAAAGTGCTGTCACTCGGTCCGCCGTCTCTTGCTCTGGTGGTAACGTGTCTTATGTAAAATAACGAGTCTTCCACATTGGCTCCATCCATACGATCTCTAATTGATGAAGCAACCTTTTACGTATAACAGTTTTACAATCCATTGCTACTGAGTGTCTGGTGCCTCAGTAATCGCCTGAGGCAAAGAAATAGCATTGTAAGTATTAGTACATGTCTACTATCAACGCAGTGAACTGCGCCACTGTGTATTACGGTACAGTAGATGAGGTGAATTGCAGCACAGTAGCTGAGGTCTTTTCCAACTTTAGCTAACCTGTATAATGATGATGATCAATACAGTGAAAACACTTACATTGGCTTTTCTCCATACTAGAGAATAGATTGCTTTGCTTTGCTTCCTCAGTTGCGATTACCAAACCATGGCTTTCAAAGGCATGAGCGCAACTTTTCAAACTTCTGCTTGGCGAGCTGGGCGACTGGCAATGTTTGTCGCTTGGTGTTCCAACACGTATCTCAATCCCACATAGGTCACGCAAGTGCGAGTAGTGGGTCCGTTCTGGGTAGATAGTGCTGACTGCTAAATCGGTAACTAATCCTCCAGCACTTGGCCTTAGTGGTCGATAATCGCTTGTTAGTACTGCACTCGACTGTGTTGGGCTCTGCAGGTCATTGGAAGATTTCCTGAGGAGAGATCCTAATGACGGGTAGGAGCATGGGCTGCGTGGCGGGTCATCATACATTTGATGGTTCAAAAACAATGTGTCCAGTTTCTTCATTTCGCCGGATGACATTGAATTGCCCTTATCTGCTTTCAATTTTGCTTTCCACTGGCACCACAACCCACCAGCGTTTTCCTCATTCAGTTCTCTTTTCTTGTATCGAATATTGTAAGCGAGCACAACACTGATGAAGGCGAAGATGGCCATGCCACACACCAATCCAACGATGGTCACTACAAGCTTAGTCGGATGCCACGAGGGGATGGATGAGGAGGGGGAAAGATGCAATGTCACAAGGCTAGGATTTGTTGATTCCTTGAGATAAATGGGCTCCGACCACTCACTGGATGCGCACAGGCGACTTCCATCTGGATACTGTATGGATGCGAAAACATAAACAAAGCTACGTTTCATAGTGATTGTAGTCTATTGCGCATGAAAGATGCGAGGCTAACTGTTCTCAGATTCTGTAAAAGTGCATAGAGGTAGAAATGGACACAGAAAGGCAGCCTACCCATTCAGTGGAAAAGTTTCAATTAGAAACTGTCATTCAGGGAAATCATCATACAGCTTATGATAGCTTTTAAAAGCTTCAACAAAAACTTTCAGTAGATTTACAAGAAATAGCGAGATCGACAAATTTTGAATATATGGCTTTTGGATTCATAGAATCCGCATAAAGCCGTAGTCACATGTGATCATTGGCGTTTCAACTAATTTGATAAAATGATTGAAATGAATGTCTGATTATTACTGAGGATTCCATGCGTTTGCAAAACCCGAAGTGATAGAAAGGTCAGAGTAAAGCAGTCTGCTCAGAGTTGCTTATATTTTTCCACGTTATATATATTCTTCTTCAAGCATAGTAACTGTTTAAAAAACACCCCAATATCCATTATCCTTCCTCCCAGTATACCTAATCTGGCTGGTTATTTGTTGGCAGTGTACAGGAATTTAACTAGCTTATGGTAAGTATCACTAAATCATACCGGAGATGAAACTAACAGGAGCAAATCTTATCGCGGGGTGGTGAAATGGAATCAGTTGAGAAATTCAGTATACAAACTAGGTGAACAATTCTAAGACAATAAAACCGTGCAAATCGCAGTCTCTTTTGAACTTCAGTTAAAACAGCAGTTGAAACTGCTAGGTCTCATTTAGAGACAGTGTGTTTCGTTTCTATGTGCATGAATCCAAAGTTGGATAATGTAAACAACTGGTTAAACAGATAATTGCTGTTCACAGGTATTGAGGTGTGATTTCCAGTTCAGGCTACCATCAGAAGTTGATTTGATATGATGTCGCATCTGGACAGATTATGTCTATTTGTCTCCAAACAAACGCGAATGTCACGCCATTGGAAACAGTCCCCAAATTGGAACCGAACAAATGGGTCATTCTGATTATCGTATTGCTAGCATAAAAACGCTACTTACCAATCGGGAGCAAAGCCGCCCACTAGTTTCGCATTTCATTAGTCAAGATGCTGCAGTTTTGTTTACAGGCTTTTTTAGAACCGTTACTGCTTCGCAATTTGAGTGCCATGGGCCACCATGGTGCAAATGAACTTCGCGTACCACTGATATCAAGGGGTAACTGTCAATGGTATATTGCGAATAAAAGTCAAAGCTTAAGATGTTCAACAGGCTTTCAAAAGAAGAATAAAAATAACTACGTGATTATTCACATACGGTTTTATTAACTTCAAAATGTTACTGCTAAATGTTTTCCGAAAAAATGTGCATGGGTTGCTACAGTTTGGTTTACCGGATATGTGTATAGTTCATGTATGCTAAGTGGAACACTGGGGTGTTACGAGTGTGAAAAGGAAATGCTTAAGAATATCCGTAGAACGACAAGAATAAAGACCACAATCATGTAAATATAAAGCACAAAAATAAACTGCAAACCGTTTTGGTGGACTGACACCAGTATATACGCAGTGACATCATTAAAAGCGCCGTTTTCGATTGTGTAGGTTAAGGCTTGCCTTGCAGCGTTTGTCCCATTATATCGTTTGTCGATGTACACGTACTATACTTCGTAATGTAGGTTCGTTAGGGCAACGTCAAGGAGTTTTTAAACACAGATAAATTGGGATTGGTAACGATGTAATACGAGAGGCGTTCCATGGCTGACACACACGAAGACAGTAAGCGTTTCTGCGTCATACTAGCCGACTCTATTGCGTGACTAAGTTAACTGGCGGCTCCTCTGGTGTTTGTTGTGACTGAGTTACAGTAGGCGGGGGCAGATGTATTTTGGGTTTCACAGAATCTGGTGGGTCATTAGTAAGTCACCATGTGAGCACCGATGCAGATCACTACCTAGGTTGATGTGGAACTTGAAAGAACTTTTTGACGTGCTAGGTTGCTCTTTACTGTGGAGTATCAGGCGCTGCATGATCATTTGGCATAACGCGGCCAGCACAGTGTTGACACGACCTATGTACACAGCTAATGTAGCGGCTGAAGTAACAGGTTTTAGGAGTGAATTCCATGTGTGGTAAATACTCAGTGAGAAGACATTCCGTTGACACTCGAAATGTCTGTATTGTTCCGCCATTGTGAGACTGTGTCGTCTCAGTTTGCTGTTATGGCTGAGATTAGGCAGATGATCGCACTGCTTATTCGGATTGCTTAAATTTTGTTAAACGATGGTAAAATTCCCACACAAACAGCGATAGCGACCTCTGTAAACCTCCAGTATACTTATTCGATGTTCTCAGCGTATGTGGTATAGCACCTAGTCGTTTCTGATGGCACAACGTGGAATTTCCGAGAGGGCGCGATCATATTTCTGCCATTGCTGCGACGGTTGAATTAAGTAATTTACATGAGGTCGTATGTGTGCAGAAATGAGTTTGAAGAAAGTAGATGGATCGAAGTATCCAAGGCTCTCCGTAGGAATCGAAAGCTTTGGATCCACATTTTTGCTGCTATGGCAGCTTGCTCCGAGCAACTATGGTCTTCCTAGACAAACAAACCAAGATATTTTTCGTGAGCACATTGCTGAAGATCCTGCTCGCTAAAGTCATAAGTGAAAACAACCTAGTGCCTTAGATAAAGCATTCGACATTTAGTTACGTTAAAGTGGAAACCGTTCCGAAATGACCATTCATAAATCTTGTCGAGATGAGTTTGAAGTTGTATACTGTCTCTTGGTACTTTGATCAACCACAGAACTCTGATTTCATCAGCATGAAACAAGCAAGAGGAGGATAATAAACTCAATATAGCGTTAATGAATATCAAGGAAAGATGGCTCTGTGAAACCGAAACTTTTGGCACATCGCATCCCGCCTGGATGGGATTTTATACGGACTCACGTACATTCACTTCCAGATATCTGTGCAAGAGGAAGTTGCTGATCCACCCTAGAACGAGATCTATAGTAACCAACATCTGAAGCATGGCTAGACGCATGTAGTGGTTCAACTGTTCGAATACCTTTTGGAAGTTGACGTGGACAACACCGAATCTTACACCGACGTCCAATGTTTCCATTCCACTGTCCGTGCTATTAGTCGATTGATCGTGCACCGTCGTTTCCGGCGGAAGCGATGTTACACTTGCACGATGTAGCCAAGTTCCTCCAGGTGAAGCATGACTGATTGAAAAATGCTAACCTCCATAACATTAGAAAACACTGGAATGCTAATCACTAGACGGTAGTTAGCTGGATCAAAACGACTACCTCCTTAACAAATTATAGTTATTATCTCATCTTTCCATACCGTTGGCATGCATTTAGTCAAGGCAAGGCTCGAAGGGGCTCAGCAAATGTTCTGCCGGTTCCTTAGCTGCTAAGGTAAGTGTCTTAGGGCGAATCTCATTAACCCATATTCTACCGGCGTCCTTTTTGAAAGACAATTAATATAAGGTGAATTAAAGGCGTTGAATTAATGTATTATTCATAGTTTCTTTGGTTGCAAACTTAGATAGCAGACTAAACCACATTCTTTTGAAATCATTTGACCAGTCCGTTTATTTTCGAAAAAATGCTTTCCCTTTATTGTATGATCACAAATTATCAAAAAATTTGAAAATCCAAAACGGTGAATGTACTTTAAGTAATTATTCATTGAAAAGCGCCAAATTTTTGCCATATTGGTTTTAAATTATATATCTAGCATACATTATTTCATGTAATCAGGCAAAACGTGCCATAGTTATTGCATGCATGTGCTGCAACCATCTGTCCTTTTAAAAGAAGCCAGCAAGAAACGATATTGTGACGCTTACCATGGACCTGACTAAGTTATGGGTAACATGACTGAAAGATTTGCGCATTTTTATAAGCGTTCAGACATATTAGGCTAATATTATCATAACGTGAAACACTGAATTGCAGTAACATGACTTCTCTGTTTTAATTGAATTTCATTTTTAAAAATAAACCTAGATTATAGTTTACTTGGTGTCATCATGCTTCTTAAACAGGAATGTTGAAATTTATTTAGCGCATGATGTCAGCACCATGATAGAAGAAGCTGACGGTGCCATGGAAGGCAACGTTTACATTACGCCTCCGGGTGATGGACAAAATTCTGATGAAGATGATATCATTTAACTGATTCAGGATGCTGGATCTCTTGATGATCAGTGTAGCATCCGTAATTGCAGTCACTATGGATGGTGAAACATTCGAAGCAAAAGCAGAAAGTGACAGTATAAGTGTACAAGAGGAATTTACTGCCCCTAGGCTTGTTTCTTCAAGTAAAATTAAAAAGGATAACAGATTTAGACTATGGAGGAAAGAGGACTTATGTCAAGGAGCACAGACGTACAGACAACGGTCTGAATGTGCCAGATGTTTTAACAGAGGAGCTTAAGCCGTATAAGTCATTTGAACGATTTTTTGATAACGCTATTCTTGAGCACATGCTAAGGCAGACAATTGTGTAGACCCGTTCAAGAGGTGACCACGCATTCATTATAACCACGACTGAAGTGCGTGCTTTTCTCACCGTTCCGTTTGGTTATAATCCATAACCACGAAGACACATCTATTGGGACTCTGAACAAGATGCCCACAATGCAGCCATCAGTCAAACAAAGAATAGAAACAGATTTGACACAACCATTAAACATATGACTAACAATGTCAATCTGCAAGAAGATGACAACTTTGCAAAATTTCAGCCACTTTATACACTACTCAATGAAAGATTTATGCAATGCTTCCCCATGGAAGAAAATGTGCGCGTGTTTGAAAGCATACTACTATAGCACCGCCGTCATTATTGAAGCGTCACACTAGAGGAAAGCCTATTATATTCGAGCATGAACAATGGACAATTACAACAAATCTACAATATTCCACCTATGTGGATTTATATCAAGGTGTTCAGACCAATTACGACAAGACATTAG